CACACACACACACACACACACACACACACACACACACACACACACACACTTATACACATACTCTTAGTGTGACAGGTAAGAAATTAAAAGCCTGAGTAAGATGAATATATATGGCCATAAAGACGTTTGTCTCTGACAGTAACTCACTGCTCCGACCTCCACTGTTTTGTTTTCATTTCATTTTTAGGACCGACTCTGAGCCTCAGTCATGATTTATAATTAAACACGCTACCTGTGAAAGCTCCTTTTCACAGCTGATTTCATTGGTCATACGTCATGTATTGGAGCTGCTCGGTTCCTGTGTCCTTATTTCTTCAGGTCCAGTTTGATGACATCACATGTGCCAGCAACATGGAAAATACCAACCGCAGAAAAATACCAGCTATTGATAAATCCATGAGCTGAAGGATTTACTGAGATTTGCTCAAGAATTAACTGAATATTCAAAGCAAACAGCAATTAACAAAACTAGCTGAAGGCAAATGGCTCTAACTCACTTATAGCTCTGTTCAGAAGTAGAGGAGGGCAGTGAGGAACTACATTTACTTCAGTACTGAATTTAAGTACAACTTTTGGGTATTTGTACTTTATATTTTACTTTTACTCCACTACATTTCTCTGTTGGCTTTAGTTAGTAGTTAGTTTTTAGCTGTTTGTGTAATTTGTATCACTGTAAAATTACACACTACATCCCTGTACAGTGGATGGTGATAAGCACAGATTTGAATAATATTAATAATTTTGTGCTACTGTCATGGTCTGTTTGTATGCCTTGGTTTTTCTAGTGTTTCAGTGTTTCCCTGTGTGCTCCCTGCCCTACCCACACTCACCTGTTTCCTATTGTGTTTCCTCATTTAGTTCACCTTTATTTTCAGTGTCTTGTGCTTTGACTCTTGTCAGATCATTGTGTTGTGTTGTCCTACCAGCCTGTTTGGTGTCCTCGTGCTTCGTGTTTTCTCCTGAGTTTTTCAAGTGACTTTTCAAGCTGCCTCGTCAGCGTTTCTTGCACTTTGAAATGCTGCCTGCATCCTGGGTTGATCCATGTTAAAACCTTACACCTGCTAGTGTTGCCTTATAGCTACACAGGTATAAGTAAACATATTAGACATGTTTCAGCACTATGGGTCTTTGTTTAGATCCTGATTAGTCCTGGTTTTAACCTGGACTCATCTCATTTAAAGTTAGCATCATTATTATCAGCGCTAACACTAAAGCTAGCAGGCTAAGCTGAGGTTGTTCTTCCATGAAGCAGCTCTGTTGTCCTCCATCCATATTTTCAGTTCCAGGCTGAGTCATTTCTACCTTCTCCTCTCTGTCAGCTGTAGTGTCCAAGAGTGGGGGGCCTCTTCTCAGGAATGCACAGATGTGTTGTGCCTCTTTTAGTTTTCCTGCTCCAGAGCTCGGCACATATTACCATATTAGGAAAGGGAATGCGTAAGGTATACCGTGACAAAATTTATGATGCCTCTGTTGAACTACTGTGAAGCCTATAAAGAGGCTTGTACGCCCCCTACCCTTGGCCTTCGTTCTTCATCTTTCTTACTTGGTGAATCATTTGGCTTGGAGTTCATAATTTGGTTTTTGGCTGTAATCTCCTGGACTGCAAAATAAAGATTCTTGCTGTTCAACCAGCCTGTTTCAGAGTTTCTCTCTTCATTGAGCAGCAGCAGTTCCACAGAACCAGAAGATGTGGTTATTTCACCTCACAACGCTCTCTGGTTTCATTTAAAAGAGTCGATCATCAGATATTGTCCAAGATTAACCTTCAGGGTGGATATAGCTCGCTAGCAGCCTCGCACCGAGGACCTATCCACATCATCATTTACCCAGAATGCTTTGTGTGTAAATAAAATGGATCAGTCAGTGTAATATATTTTTAACATTTACAAAACGAATCAGCCTACAGTATTTTTCCAGACTATATTTTGCAGTTAAAATATCCATCCATTCATCCATCCATCCATCCATCCATCCATTTTCTTCCGCCTATCCGGGGTCGGGTCGCGGGGGCAGCAGCTTCAGAAGGGAGGCCCAGACCTCCCTCTCCCCAGCCACTTCTTCCAGCTCCTCCRGGGGAACTCCAAGGCGTTCCCAGGCCAGCCGAGAGACATAGTCCCTCCAGCGTGTCCTGGGTCTTCCTCGGGGCCTCCTCCCGGTGGGACGTGCCCGGAATACCTCACCAGGGAGGCGTCCAGGAGGCATCCTTACCAGATGCCCGAGCCACCTCAACTGGCTCCTCTCAACGTGGAGGAGCAGCGGCTCTACTCTGAGTCCCTCCCGGATGACTGAGCTTCTCACCCTATCTCTAAGGGAGAGCCCAGCCACCCTGCGGAGGAAACCCATTTCGGCCGCTTGTATCCGGGACCTCGTTCTTTCGGTCATGACCCAAAGCTCATGACCATAGATGAGGGTAGGAACGTAGATCGACCGGTAAATCGAGAGCTTCGCTTTCTGACTCAGCTCTCTCTTCACCACGACGGACCGGTACAGCGCCCGCTTTACAGCAGACGCTGCGCCAATCCGCCTGTCGATCTCCCGCTCCGTTCTTCCCCCATTCGTGAACAAGATCCCCAGATACTTAAACTCCTCCACTTGAGACAGGACGACCCCCCTGACCCGGAGAAGGCACTCTGCCCTTTTCTGGGTCAGGGGGGATGGATGGATGGATGGATGGATGGATGTTTGTCACTAACCGTTTTTAATGCACATTTAGAAGTATCTCATCTTGAAAAGTGAATGGAAACGGCATGATTAAAAAAAACTTCCTCTAATTCACATAAAAGTTGACACACTGGGTTGAGGTGGTTTTTGGTTTTTTTTTTTCGAAAAAGAGTTAATGCACAAAAGGATGGATGAAAACACATTTGTCGAATAAGTTCTGACGTAGCGAATATTTATCTCACATGGTTGACCAGCTGTTCTCACTGTCTGTCTGGTACCGGTACCAGAGCGACTGCAGCAGGACCCTCCTCCCGCTGTCGGTGTATTTTCAGTTATTCCCGTAACATAAAGAGAACTGCATTTCTTTCTCTACGTCTCCAGACAGCAGTAACATCAGCAGAACTAGTTGAGATGACAGAATAATTATAACTTTCTGATAGTAACAACATGTTCCTGATGACTTCATTAACCTGAGATGTGTCCCTGTGAGTTTGTGACGTTTACTTCCTGTTTACTACACACATGCATCTGACGTAACTGATTCGCTTTAAGCCAGTTGATGGAAACACGTCTGATTCACATTTCTTTGTTTTTTCCTTTTTGCAAAATTTTTATAATTCAAGTTAAAATAGGATGAAAATAAGGTATAGTCTGTTTATTTTTGGTTTGCTTATATTCTGTGATATTTTGTTATTCAGATTATCTCTGTGTTTTTTGTATCCTTTGTTTCTTCTTTGGTCTCTTGTGTTCTTTGTTGTCATTCATGTTTTCCTCAGTCAGCTCCAGTCACTCTCCTGTCTGTTGTTAATAATCAGTCTTCATCCAGGTGTTGCTCCTCTTCCTTCTCCCTCAGTTTCTATTTAACCACTCCTCTGCTGGATCATTGCATTGCTCGGCCCTTCTGTCTCAGTCTTCCTGTGTTTCCCTGCATCTCCTGAGTTTTTGTAATTTTGCTGCCACGTCAGCTTTTTGTTGTATTTAATAAACGTTTTTATTTTTCTGCGTGTCCCATGTCTGCCTGCTCCTGGGTTCATTCACCAGTTAAACCTGACAAAGTTAAACCATTTCAGACTTCTAGTCACTTTGTTCTATTAATGGATTTTTACCAAATAAACTGTTAAACTGCTTTTAAATGTTTCCTCTAAACAGAGTCAGAGCTCCTGAATGAGTCACTAGATACTCAAAAACTGTTCCAAGTCTTGTCGTTGAAGTGGCAACTGTAGAGACTTAATGAGGTGACAGTTCTTGTAAAAGAGGTATAAGTAGGATGTGACGATGCTCTGGTTGCAGGGCCTGTCTGTCATTGGGTGGGAGCAACACTTAACCCAACCTCTCCATGTATAAATCTGTTGGTGTGACTGTGGTGGTCTGGAGGGACCGTAGGTTCAGAATGATCCACCACCGAGTGACAGAGGGGCGAAAGAATAATGCAGGAAGCTGTAAACGTCACTGACCATATAAAGTTCTGCTACATAAGGCTAATGCATTATTATATATTGTATTTGGAGCTAATGATTTGTCTAAAGAAGCAGAAATTTTTCCCAAATATTCTCAGCTACACTCAAATATATTGTTTAAAAAGTAAGTATTTTTGAAAATGCATACTCGATTACTTTAACTTAAGTAGTAATTTGACAGAGCTACTTTTGCTTTTATTGGAGTAATATTTGACCAGTAGGATCAGTACTTTGCACCTGTTCAGCAGGTACATTTGGTGTGGTAGTTACAGGTAGTGGGTGAGATTCAGTGAGATACTCTGTGTTTAAAATCTACATAAACTTGTGCTGAAATTCTTCAAACAACCGGTTCTTTGTTGACCTAAGGTTTTTTTCTTTACCAACATACAACTGGTGGAGGTGGTGTGGTGGTCAGTGGTCAGTGTGAGGCTTCTGGTTTGAGCCCAGTTTGGATCAGGAAGGACTGATGCTGATTCCAGTAAATGCCTTTATTTTCTCTTTGTGGTTGAATGTTGGTTTTTACTAAACAAGAGAGAAAACATCCAATCAACAAGCTTCATCCATTTAGTCTCCATTGATCTTGTGTTCTTCACCACGATGAAACGGCACAACTAAATGAAATAATGCCCGTCTTTGTAAATCTAATTATTTCTTGGACCTAATGGGGTAAAAAATGTAATGTCAGTGAAAAAGAACATTGATATCTTTCCAGTAAGAACTCGTCATCAGAATGAAGATTCATTTATCTTGTTAATGATTTGACTCTTGGACCATTACAGAGAGACAAAACACACAAATAAAGACACCCCCCCCCCCCTCCATCTCTCTGCAGGAAGAAGGAGACTCCAGGTTTTACTGCAAGCTGTGTGACAAGAAGTATGTGAGACACCAGCAGTACGAGAACCACATTAACTCCTACGACCATCACCACAAGCAGGTGAGTGGGAGCTTTGCCCAGAGGTTTCCTTTGGTCCTTTAGGGATAAGATCAGGTTTTATTACATCCCAGTGGCACAAAAACAACAACACCTCACCACCAGCACACGTGTCCTCTGTTTGTGTCCGCTGTATGATTTCTGCTGGTTTCCTCTAACTGACAGACCAGCTGAACCACATCAGTGCTGTAACGTCCAGTTCTCTTTTTATTTCCAATTAGTCACAATTTAGCTTCACAGGTTCCCAAGCAGTTTGTCCAACTGTGTTTCTCAGGAAAAAAAAACAAGCTGTGGACCCAACTGTCTCACTCCGAAAAACCTTTAAATGTTTTTAACTGTCCAAACAAAAACACACCCTATATGACCACCAAATACGACCACCCTGATGCTGAAAATATCACTGATGTGTTTAAATGCTGTGTTTGTGTGACTGCGAGGTTTAGACAATAAAACACATATTAATAAAAAAAATTCTGATTTGGATGAAGCTTTAATAAACGTCAGTCAGACTGACAGTCCTGATGCTATGGAGAGCAGTTTCACTCAAAATAAAAAAGTAATAATAAATAAATACTGTAATAATAAAGTATTAATAATATTCCAACAAATACATAAATGTCCACAAAATCAAAGTATTAAAAATATTTCAGCATGTTATTTATA